ACCAGGGAATGTTATTTACTAACCTGAAAAGCAGGCAATCCACATTCACACTCATGCACTATGACTGAGAACCACCTCTAAGCAATCCAATAAATCTCTTTCCTGGGACCAGAGCAGACACAGCATGCAAAATCCATTACTAATTCCCTTGTTCACCAAATATTTATGGAACGTGTGAGCCCTACTGTGTGCCAGGCACTATGCTAGGAGCTGGGGCCAGAAAGCCAACTTAGAAATGGTCCTTGCAAGGAGGGGTCCAAAGGAAAGACACAGACTCACAACCAGGCACTTGTAAGGCAGGGTGAGATGTGCTCTGGTGGCAGAGGAATCAAAGACCAGAGCAGCAATGCAGTTTTGCTTTGGGGCCACTGATGTGTCCACAGAAGCGTTGAATCCCATTAGAAAGTGCTTTCCTTTTAAGCTGAAGCCAGAAGTTAATTGCCCACCACTAGGCACACTCACAGCTCCTTTGATTGGGTCAGAATGGAGGGGATTGCTACTAAACAGAAGGACCAACATAAACATGTCTATTGCCCAGTGGATCATCTACACGACCCTCCAGGGGAAACAAAGCCACCTCCCTCGAACCTCGGCAGCATTTTGTTTATTCTGCCTTGTATCCTTTAGCAGTTTGCATGCCTGTCCTTGCTACCAGACTACAGATATAGACTGTACATATATTGCTTATAGGCAAGATTTCAGCTTTGGAATCATGCTATCACTAAGGTGCCAGTCTATGGTTTTGCAAACAGTAGGCACCAGGAAATGTTTCCCTCTAGAGATGACTTCCCCTCTCTCTTTGTTCTAGACCCCTTACCCAAGCAAGCAAGTGCTGAATCTGGATGTCTCCCAGACTCAGCTGCTCCAGTCCTCTTTCAGGGCCACAGTCTCCAGAGCCGCCAAGCCCTGGTGTCCCTTCTGAATCACAGAATCAGGAGCCCCCTGGACTGCCCCATCCAGCCCCCACCGCTTCTGACACCTTGGTCAACAGCTCCCTAGGGCCCAGAAAATGATTCAGACTCCTTGGTCTTCTCCTCAGGACCCCCTGGCATGGCCCCCAGCCCATCTCTCCAAGCTCATTCCTCCTCTCTAGCCCTCTGCTTGACCCTTCCCGTTGCCCCTTCCCTGCCAGCCATTCACTTGCTCTTCCTCAAATTTGCTTTTTATCTTCCCAAGTTGCTTTGTTCACACTGAACTCTACTCTTGAGCTACTGTTGCTTATTGCGTGCTTACCAAGTGCCAAGTCCCGGGATTCGTGTTTACTAGAGGCAATATAAACTAAGCGGTTTGCTCTGGCGAGATAACACATCCCCTTAGACCTACTACCCTTTATGATGAATGTCCATTAGTTAATCATTTTTCCCTTAGAACTAAGTGATCTTTATTGGTGTATTATCTCACGATCTATCGAAGAAAAGAATACCGTGTCAAAGAATAAGGAGGAGGTAGGGAGAATGCAGATGTCAAGACATGCCAAAAAGAAAATCTTGGTCATGATATAGCAGTTTTAGTAGAAATAAATTACTACACCCAAGTTTACCACAGCACTATAAACATGTCCCACAAGTTTTAATGAATTTGATATAGTGCATAGTGCTTTCTTTCCTTTTCCCTGAGAGAATCTAAAAACAGGACGGAGTTCCTTTTAGCAGTCAAGAAAAATGAGTTATAGGTACAACTGGCTCTCCATATCTGCGGGTTCTGCATCCACAGATTCAACTAACTGTGGATTGAAAATATTCAAATAAATAAATAATAACAATACAACAATAAAAAATAATACAAATTAAAACAATAGAGCGGGGCA